GAAATGGCAGCCATTAGTGTCATGATCCTTCAGAAATCATTCTAATATGCTGATTTTGGTGCTCAAGAAACATTTCTCGTTATTATAAATGTTGAAAAAACTTGTGCTGCTTAATATTTTTGTAGAAACCGTGATTCATTTTTTCAGGATCCTCTGATGAAAAGTTCAAAAGAACAGCATTTATTTGAAAGAACTTTTGTAACATAAATGTCTTTACTGTCACTTTTAATCAATTTAACGCATTCTTGGAGAATAAATGTATACATTTTTCAAAACAAAAAAGAAAAAAAAATCGTACTGACCTACTGAACGGGAATGTATCGCTAATAAATAAATAAATAAAATAATTAAGTATGAATTTTCCCTTTTGCCAGTCCCTGTAATTTTGCTAATCTTTATTTAAGGAATCATTACCTCTTTTTACTATAATAAATGGCATAAAAAATTGGAGAACCATCTTGCCATTCACTTATCCACAAAGTTTCAGCTAACCAATAAACGCCAAAAGTTTTAACCCAAGAGCACTTCCAAAATGTTGAGGAAAGCAGAGAACTAGTGAAACCTCTGCGAGGAGAAATTATTTTCCTGCATGCAGCCCTCCAGTAAACCCCAACAGCCCAAGACAAACTCTGAGAAACTAAGAGAGTGGATATAAACACAGGTCAATCAATGGCCAGTCAGGCCCACATCAAAGCAGCATGTCCTCCAGTGAGGTACAGGTGGTAATGTTGTGTTTAAGGTTTGCCTCCCCCACCCACCCACTCCCCACCCATGCAATCATTATGTACTACTGCCCCCTACTGCGGAGCAATGGCTGTGCGCCCTGAAGGTCAGTGGTGAGGAAGGGGAAGAAAGCACACAGGGGTGCACTTTAGTCCTCACTGTTGGAACAATCGATGCCGGCATCAGCTCAGGGCTCATGCGGCTCCGCTCTGAAAACAAACATTAGGAGAAACATCTTCCTCTTTCACTGTTCTTGCTGGGCCAACAGAGTCTAACTAGAGTTAACAAGGCAACCAAGGCAGTTCTCCCTCAGCAAGGAAACCAGAGAGGGTGAAAGGTGGGAGATTGGCCTCAGAGGAGCTATGAAATCGGCAAATTGGGTATAAAAGCACAAAATATGTATTTTGTGTACACAAGGGAGAAATGCTACATCTGACCTAGAGCAGAAGATAATGGGCAACTGCAATCAGTTTAAAGAAATCTCAAACTTGGGGTTTTTGGGAACTGCACTAATTTAGACTGTGCTTAATTTGCAATGGTTTGGCAACCCAAGTGCATCCATTTTCTGTCCCTTACTCGGGTTTTATTGGTTTGGCTTTACTGATAGGTCATATCAAATTTCAGAGATCACACTGAAGCACTAATAAAATCGAATTCAAGAATTCAGATACATCTGAGGCTGGGTAAAAACAGATTTTCTGATTCAAATTCATTTGAATAATCCCGATATTAGTTCCCAAAAATCATAAAATCTATCTTTTACCCTATGCCTATAACTCAGTTGCACGCAGAAAACAAAAAAAAACAACATACAGCATGACTGGTGTAGTCAAATTCAAAACAAATGACTGAGCATAAAAGTTCAAAATAAATGACCAGAATCAGTCTGAAACACTGCATATTTACAGCTCTCTTCTGACGCTGTATAATTTACAACATGAAGATTGAACATTGATTATTTCATTTGTAAGCAAAACAGACACTCTAATTGATATGTAACCAAATAAATCAGAAAGTGAATAAGATTCAAATCAAAATGAGAGCCTGTGAAACAGAATTGAATCAGCAGATCTGTTTTGATACCCTGTATTGATTCTTTCTTAGATAATGTGGCAGCAACTATGTTGCTCTCAAAAAATAAATAAACAAAACATACACAACTGAGTTTGTTTTTATCTACTACAAGTGCATTTTCCCAAACTCTTGGAAAACACAACTCTAGTCACAACCCTATATACATGCCATGCCATATCTATTATTCATGTATGCTAACCTGTCCTCATCAAATTATTCCTGTCCCGTCAATGTCATATCAATTTTATCGCGATTACAAAGCAAACAATTCAAGATGACATTTGGACCTAAAAATATGCCTGCGAATGCTGTCGGTGCGTTAACAAAACCAGCGATAAAGTTACAATGCATAACAAGTGGTGCTGCCACAACTAACTTTTAATGATAGCTCTTTGAAGCCATTTCCTAGCAGAGAACAGGAAGTTAAGAAAGACTCAAGCAAGAGTGACACAGAAACTAGGACCCAAGTGCTAGTCTTTTGTCTCCACCTGATCAAATGGCAGCCGAGAGGAAAGGCACACAGCCCCCTTTCTCCAAACGCATGTACCCGGCTCAGTGGCGTCTGCCACACGTTCGCCTGCCTCGATGCAGGTATCAAAGACCAGCTCGCCTCTCCCACAGACGTCGGAGTGCCAGCCGCACGGCAGCTTTCATAGCACAACAAGGGGAAAATGTGGCGGGGGAAGAGTCGGGACTCTGAGCTCCTTCAGGGATTTCCTTATCGGGGGCAAAGCAATCCCCCCTGGACCTCATCCTCATAGGCTTGATTATTCAAGGCATTACAAAGGAATGAAAATAACTCACAACTCAAAGCCACTTTTTTTTTTACCCTTATTTATTATCATTTCACTGCAAGAGAGTGTGCCCAACACCCTGCTAACGTTTAAGAAAATGCAACCACAGAGAACAAATACAGACCAGACAATTTAAAAGATACAAAAAGGAAACAACTTGAACTAGAGCGCGAAGAGGATTAAGAGTTCTTCTTAGGCCTTCCCCGGCTTTTCTTCACTGCTGGCTCAGAAGAGGCCTGTGCTTCTTTCTTTGCTGGACGCTTTCCAGGACTTGCCGTCTTTTTAGCGCCATTCACTTCTAAACAGGTTACACATTCAGTTTAAAACGTTTACCACACCAAAGTTACTGATATTGATGATAATAGGTAAGGTCCAGAAACATGATTACCCTTCTTCTTCTGTGGAGCTCGCCTCTTCTTTGCAGGGGCGCCTTTGGTTTCATCAGCAGACTGGCCTTTTTCTTCCACTTTCTTCCGCTTGGGAGTCTTCCAGTCAAAAATAAAGACACAAATAAGGGGATGGAAAAGATGGAAGAGCAGTGGTCAATTCACTTGCCTAGAGCAACCTTGGAGGAAGTTCAAATCAAATATTAAGAAGGGACCTTTTGCTATGTATACACATGGAAACCATTATGTGCGCCTTGAGCGTTGTGAATGCTTGAGAAAACGTAATTACAATTTAGCTATCCAGTAAAACCGGCAAGAATAAATAAAATAATTTTAATGTCAAATGCAATACATGTACACTACCATTCAAACGTTTGTGGGCAATTATTTATTTATATATTTTTAGGAAATAATACTTCCATTTAGCAAGGACGGATTTAAATTGATCAAAAATGACAGTGAAGACTTTTACAAAAAAATTTTGTTCTTTTGAAATTTCTATTTATCAAAAAAATACTTGTTTTAAACGGATAATAATAAATAATGTTTCTTGAGCACCAAGTCAGCATATTAGAATGTTTAGAATCATGTGAAGACTGGACAAATGGCTGCTGAAAATTCAGCTTTGTCATCACAAGAATAAATTACATTTTAAATTATATTCAAATAAAAACAGATATTTTAAATTGTATTGTAATAACATTTCATAATATTACTGTACTGTACAGTTAGGGCTGTGCAAATAATCAAATGCGATTTTCATGCGCATCTCGTCAGTAAAGTCGGTTCTGTGCTTAGTAATAAATCTTCAGCATGCGCTTTCAGATGGAGCGGCATTTACAGAGCCGTAGATCACTGACAAGCTACGCAATATCGCGTTCAAAATCGGCAATGAATTGCCTGCGATTTTGAATGCGATATTGCGTAGCTTGTCAGTGATCTACGGCTCTGTGTAGTAAATGCCGCTCCATCTGAAAGCATGTGCTGGAGATTTACTACTAATCACAGAACCGGCTTTACTGACGAGATGCACATGAAAATCACATTTGATTATTTGCACAGCCCTATGTACAGTATATACCATATAACCAGTACAGTATATACAGTATAATCATATTACTGTCACAATATTACTGTATTTTGATCAAATAAATGCAGCCTTGAAAATAAAAAAACAAGACTTATTCACTTATTCAAAAACATGAAAAAAATCTTGCCAACCCCAAATTTTTGAACGGCAGTGTATGTTGACACTGGAAATGACCAGTACTGGGAAGGAAACTGATTTCAATGTTTTTTCTTAGAATTCCAAACAATGAAACCTACTATGAGTTAATCTATTTAAACCATTTCATCAATCAAAAATCCTTGCTTTTTTTCTCCTCAAATGAAAATTCTAGCATAGAAGCTCAAGTCCTCAATTCAAGGAAATCGTACTAACCGAACCAGGGGTTATGAAGAAGATGCACTTAATGACAGCAATCAAATTCTCCCTTTTCTTCACTCAGACTGCATAATGAATGCAGGATGAATGCTCGCTCCTCTCTCGGACTTGAACTATCATCCTTACAAGTCCCCCCCACACCCCCTCACATTTCCCTTCCATTTTGCCAATTGCTGCCTCATGATTACCATCCAGACCCTGCTGAGCTGAACAGATTGGCTCGATAATTACATACAATAACGGCAGTGGGCAGGTAACCCTCAGCTGGCATGGGCCAGCTCCCTGGTGGCACCTTCCATATGCAAACTGCATTGTGGGAAGCGAGGAGAGTCCGTCCCCTCCCCTGTCGTAAGTGCGGCTTGCTGATTGCCGGCCCGCGCCGACTCCAAGGTTACCGTGTCAGCAAATTTGTGATACATTAGCAGGGAATAAACACAGGCACTCAGGACCTGTCTGTGGGAGGAAGAGGAGGGGCCACTGGGATAAACACCCGGACGCTGGAGAGAACCTGAGATGCAGACGGCTTTGTTGCCAAGAGCTCTTTGTGCCGGACCCCATGAATGAAGCCACAGTCTTATCGTTTTCACAAAGTATATGCTATCAAGGGCATCTTTGTGGGCTCGGACGGTTTGTTTTACACAAAATACACAAAAAAGAAGCATGACGGCTGCAGAATTCACTTCTAAAGATCATTTAACTTAAAATCCAGACAAAACAATTCAGTGATTAATAACCTCTTTCCCCAAGTATTCAGAAATGTGGCATAATTTCAGAGGAGTGAGATCTCATGCCAGCTGCCACATTGAGGGTGCTGACTGCAATATTGGATAAGAAACTAAGGTCAAAAGGCATTCTACCATTTGAAAAGCAGAGAAAAATACTAAACATAAATATCTAAGAAAATCCATAAAAAATATTAACATCAAGACACTTTGAGGTAAAAAGAGGTCTGTGTGTCGATTGCAAGAAATAATCCAAATAAGCTCAAGAAACGTTTGTTAAAAGCATTACACGTTAATCGCATTTGAAAATCAATGCACTCAACAGCTTTTCCTACTAACCTGAGCAATTAGTCTTGGATCGTGTGTGGGCATTTTCAAATTTGAATCTGCTTTCAACAGGTAAACAAATTATGGGATGTTGAAATGGGCTCGTTTTTAAACGGCGGGCTTCTAAAAGGGACTGTCGCAGCATTTTCAATGCACCGTGAATGAGGGAGTGCGACAGAGGTCAGCTTTTTAATGTTCTACTGAAGGTGGCTCTTACCTTGACGGAGGGCGGGCCTGTGCCGTTGGTCGACACGCCGAAGTCCAGCTTTTTGTCATCGGTTGCCCCGATGGTCTTCAGGCCTTGCTGCAAAATACCTCGCAATTTTGCGTAATTTGGCTTGTCTGTGTATCCGAGAGCCTTGACCTCTTGCATGAACTTCTTCATTTCCTCTGGAAATTGAAAATGACATTAAGTACAACAATCTAATCTTAATGCAGATGGATTTATTTCTCCGACTTTGTAATACATCTGCACACTGTTAAAGACACGTCTGGGTCAATGAACAAACTAAGAGCATTTATGTGTGCGATTAAGTGAAAGTTACTTTGACCTCTGTCTCAAAGTTAATCTCAAATGAACACGCAGAAGTCCGATGTTAATAAGGTGCACATGCACGTGCGTTTAGCATTGTGCAAGAAAGACAGAACAGTCCCTGTAGGGCAGTGTCTCCACAGCAGACGCTCACACTTTAACCTTCAGGCTAAGTTTAGAGCAGAGGGGTTGACATTTGTCACTTTGTTCCTTATACTTCTCCACTCACAAACTGTTGTTTACTGTCGGCTGCTAAAATAGTCACACCAAACAGAATTAGTCGTGATGGCCGTGCCAACAGTGCCGCCTCCCATCACCTCAGTGTTGTGATGCAGCGTGTACGCACAAGACAACAGCCTGAGGAGGGATCTAGCAGTCTGCTGCGCGGCTGTCACAGGGTTTAAGAACTGCCATCACATCAGCGACTTGAGCAAAGGGAGCCAATGACATCTTTGATTTTTAAACGACACAAAGAAAGAACGCCCTAAAGTTCTGCAAAAGTACAGACTGACACACACACTGACTGCAAAACTAGGCAATACTGAGGTCGAGAACAGAGAAGGGTGAAAAACAAGTTTGTTTAAAAACTTCAGCTTTTATTTATTTCATTGTTTTGTGGTCGAGAAGGGTAGCTGATACAATGCAATGTTTATTATGTGCATATTAAACGTGGTCCAAAAAGTCAAAAGATTACACTGAAAATGTAGCATTCAAAATGAGATTCAAAATCAAAATGTTACAATTTTCTATTTAAAATCTTAAAGAAACATCACAATGTAAAAATAATATGAAATATTTCATATTTTGACTATTTCTAGGTAAATCTGTGACACTGATTATGCGAGCACAAAAAAATAAATAAAAACGCAACGACTCATAGGCTACACTGTATTTTGATACAACTCCTTTTCCTCAATACTTCCTACAATATTTAATTGATACTAAAGACTATAATTTTAATATTTATTAATAGGTGCATTTATAACATTTCCTCCAATTAATGAAGCAGCAGATAAAGTATCTGCAGTAGAGACCTGCACTCCCGCGGGACCCAACGCAACAGGGTGTGGCGCGGGACAACTCTTGATTAGCGAGTGCGGGTGCAGGCGGGAAGACTCTTGTGTGTGCGGGATGCGGGAGAGTAAAATGATTCGCGGGACTTCCGCAAAATAGAAATGATCTAAACATAAAGTGTCTAAAACATATAAATTGTTATTTATCTGTTGCACAAAAGCAAAAAGAACAACTTATATTAACATTAAAATGATTGACATGCACAAGCTAGGCAGTTTCTATTTATAACACGTGTTTAAAGGGTTGCGCAATGTAGCCAATCACAGACTCAGCTGTTGATTTCTGGAACACAATGGCCAATCAGAGGTGATTAAGTTAGAATCTACTCACCGCAGTGCTGAAATTGCGTGCTCACGAATCCTCTCATTTTAACACACGAAGTGTAGACATTGTGAAAGATTCATTGTGCATACATTTTTTGTGTGATAACAGAGCTTTATGAGAGCGCGATTAACTGAGATGTCAGCTTTTAGTGATAATAAAGGAAGTGCTGCTCGCATTCTGCCATGCCAAACCATGCATGCAGCAGCCCATGCTTGCTTTTCTGTTAAAAATAACAGTGGTTTGTGAATGTTGATGCTTAGCCTAAATAACTAATATTTTATCGGGAGTGTTTATGCTGGTATGTTGTGGAGCTTAGGAGATATTACAGAACCATTTCATGTAAATTTCTTCGATGTACTGAAAAAAATCTATATAGATTACTTTTATGCAGGCTTTTGCGGGTGGGAGCGGGACAAAACATGAATGTCGCGTGCGGGAGCGGGACCAGATAAGATATATTTCTGCGGGAGTGGGCAGGCGTGGGACAGAATCTTGCGGGAGCAGGACTGAAAAATCCGTCCCACGCAGGTCTCTAATCAGCAGTCAGAGCCACTTTTATGAGGCACCGCACTGGACAAATACAGGTTATTTACACTTTTTTTTATATTTGCTAAACATTTCACAACAAATATTTGTAAACAGAAAATGTGTATATTTATAAAAAGTTGAAAGCGGTCACGCTCCCGTTTAAAGAAAGTGTGAGAAGTTGCTGGGAATTAGCACAGAGCTGATAGATTAGCTCTAATTAAGACTCAATCACCAGGTCCATACTCATTATAAATAGAAAAGGCCCTTGCGCTCTTGTTTGCACATCAGAGCTCGAAAGTGCGTCACTCCAATTACTGCTTGGCAGACAAACAAAAAGTAATACTGCAGAATTCACAGGTGCTTCTGCGATTGCAACAGGGTTAAAAAAAAATTATGCTTTAATCGCATTTAGTTGTAAGAAATTTCCTAAGATTTAAGACTATTAACCTACCGTATTACAGACTATATAATTGATATTTTACGACCAAAGTGCATTCACTTTTTTAAATATATGAACGCTTCTCCAGTGAACTTAAAGACTGCTCAGTTTTTTCTCACCTGGTATATTTTCTGAAGGGAAACAGCTTTTCAAGAACTCATCGATATTATCTCTACACCTGAGGAGAAGAATATTTTTAAAAAGGATTAAAAAAAAATCAACATTTTAATGTATAATTATAATTCATTAAATATAATCCATTGTTATCTGTATAAAGAAATTTGCTGTACAGAAATTAATGGGAAAAATGAATTAGTTATACTGCAAAGAGGCATATTAGTTATTCATTATTCATTATCCCATTCTCAATATTCATTATCCCATGGCAAAAAAATTGATTATAGGTCAAATAGGTAGATTACATCTTAGTACAGAAATAAGTAAAACCTAAATGCAACAAACGAGGTTAAAGACAGTCACCTGAGCTTGGAGTCTCTGACATACAGTGGGTCCTGAAGTTTGTCCTCCCAGGGTAGACGACCACAAAGCCACTGGATCATGCAGTAGCCCATGATTTCCAGGTCTCCTCTTCTTGAAGGGGCTATAATGCAATATACACCCACACAGAGAGGAACTCTTTAAAAAAACATTCATATCAGAGGCTATTTTAAAGGGTAGCCCACTTTTGTAGTATTTGATGCAAAGTACCATTACATCAACATTTAAAAATAGTATTTCTCTTCATAATTTGTCTATCACAATGTGAAGTTTTACATAATTAACACTTCAATGGCTGTTCAAAAGCATGCTACCTAAACTAGAGACCTGCGCGGGACGGATTTTTCAGCCCCGCTCCCGCAAGATTCTGTCCCACGCCCGCCCGCTCCCGCAGAAATATATCTTATCTGGTCCCGCTCCCGCCCGCGACATTCATGTTTTGTCCCGCTCCCACCTGCAAAAGCCTGCATAAAAGTAATCTATATAGATTTGTTTTCAGTACATCGAAGAAATTTACATGAAATGGTTCTGTAATATCTCCTAAGCTCCACAACATATCAGCATAAACGCTCCAGATAAAATATTTGTTATTTAGGCTAAGCATCAACATTCACAATCACAAACCACTGAAAAAAAAAAAGGATGCTCAGAGTCACCAAGTAAGCAGCGACTAATCCCAAGAGGTCGAGTTTTAAATTGTGACTTTAAAAATAGCAGCTTAATAATACACCACTGATACATTATTAATCTTCAAATTAAATATTTGCCCCTGCCCAGCCCCCAAACCTTATTTGCTAGAGACAGCTTCAATACTGTCTCTAATCTCTCCAGTTTATGAGCTGCATTAAAGGCTTAAATTGTTTTGCTTTTTTTCCTCTACCCAAATCTCATTAACAGATGGAAAAAAAAATAAGACAAGTAGTTTCTTACATTGCAAATCACTGGTACTCCAATTAAAAGAAGTGGAAGCTCTGTATAGTCCTGCAGTCTACACACAATGCCTTCTACGGCTGCACAGTTAGAGCCATACAACCATGGCAACAGAGATCTGTTAAACGTGTGAAAGGCTTGAAACAAACCTGATTGGGGTTGGTGTAGGACAGAAGGAGGTTGGAGGCTTTGATGTCTGCATGCACATATTCATGGTCATGGATGTACTCCAGAATGTCAAGCTAGAGAGTTGAAAATATGTTAGAATATGAGATTTTGTAATAATAATACAATAATGTAAGATTTGCTCCCACTGCCTGCAATGCCACAACAGTCAATGGAAAAATTCTGTGCATGTTTAAAAGATTTTCATTTAAAAATCAATAAATAAATTCGGCATAGATTGCTACTTTCGACAGATACTTTTAGAAGAAACCTACAAGTCTGAGACCCAGCTGAAGAACCAGTTTCCTTGGAAATTTCTTTCCATTTCCCTCAAACTTCTTCTGTAGGTCCACTCCAAATCGATCCATGACCATAAATCTGTCCCTGTCATGAATATTTAGGTAAAATCATCATACTGTAAATGGCCTTATTGCGTGTTCAAAAGATCAAGACGTTTGTAAAAACCCTTTCTACACATTTTATTAATAATAATAAAAAATATGTTGTTATTTATCTTGTAAAACTTTGAGAAATGGTGATTATTTTTCCTACCTCTTACCACCTTTCTCATGAAAACCAGAGCCCCAATATTTTGGAACTCCCAAATAGTCCATTTTCCTTGAATTCATCCAAGCCCCAACTGAAAAACATATAAAACATTCTGTCACAACATATTAACTATTCCACTTCAAGTGAAATCAAGAAACACTACAGTGTTCTAAATCAGTTCTAAAATTACTGAGTAAGATTATCACAGTAACCATTAAATGCAATCAAATAATCAATTCATAAATGAAGAGGGTAAATTATTCAAAACTTTTATTCTTTAAACTTGTTGGTGCTCAAAATAATATAAGAGTATTCCTCAGGGACCAAACTGCAAGTGTGCCGCAAGGTAATCTGCTGGTGGGACAAATATTTACCAACATTACAATATTCCAATGAATAAAACATGAGCATCCCTTAGTAATATAGCAGTTAATTGTCAAGGGAGACTGACATTTGGATTGTTATTAAATAAAGCGCAATGCTGTGGCCTTGGGGCAGCCATAAGAGCCACCAAAGGCAGAGTTGTGGATTGTCTGTCTCCATAAGGCCCTCAATTGTGAGCTCAGAACTTTCTTTAATTAAAAGAGTTGCACTTCGACTTTTTTCAGTCTGGATCATCATGCATATGAGGGTGTGTTTGCAGTCACAAGGGCATACTTAGATCGGGTTTGGCAGCTCGCATGTAGAACTTCAGTTCAGAGAAGAGAGGGCCGTTGTCACTGGGCTCCTGCAAGACACAGTAAAAAATAATCACCAATAATAACTGACATTAAAAATAATAAAAACGTGAACCCGCATGCATTTAAAAAAACCCAGCAGAGGGAAAGTATACATCCATTATCGCACTTCCATGCAGTGTCATTTTACCAAAGCACAAATTATTCTATTTAGTTTGCTTGTAAAATGCATACACTTGTTTACATGGCCTTGCAAAAGTCACACTCTTTTACCCAAATTACTATCTATCAGGTAATAATCATAAGTTTTATTACTTTGTTTACTTAAAATAAAAAATAATAAAAGTGATGGTTGTTATAGAAAATTACATTGTTTTCAATTCAAATAATTAAAAAATAAGTTTATTAATTTTTTTATAATTTGTTTATTGTTCTAGTTAAGGTCACAGAAATGCATTTAATTGATTGACATTACACTGCTGACCATCCAAACATCACGGCCAATCAAAAAGTTCAAGATCTAGACATATATCTGCTGGCAGCAACAAAAGCCCCTTACCACTTTAATGACATAAGGTGCATCAACGCCAACAGATCCTGAAGAGTCTTCATTTGCTAAAATATATATGACAAATTCGCATTTGCTAAAATATATATGACAAATTCGCATTTGCTAAAATATATATGACAAATTCGCATTTGCTAAAATATATATGACAAATTTGCATTTGAGCAACTGATAAATAAAACAAAATAAAGCATTAGAACTTAATTTCCGACAGCTTTTTTGAATCCTACCGAGATACAGCAGGCCAAAACCTCCCTGCCCCGCAGCTGATCCAAGCTTCCATTTTTTCTTTGCATTATCCATCAGAACTTCTCCAGGTGGGAATTCTTCAGCTAGTTTCCTCTTCGCTGGAGCTCTCGATTTCTTCGCCCCATCTGCCTTGGACTTTGGTGGCATTTTACTGAATAATTTAAAGTACCAAACAAGAGAAACACAAGTTCCATTACAACTAAACTGAAGTGGGGACCATTAGGGATAATGCTTTTATTTTTGAATTATTTTCTAATTTTATACAACATTATCCATTACAAACATATTAGCAATAATGCTTATAGAGTAAATAGTTTAACTGAAAACGTTACTTAGGGTGTATTCACACCAGGAAAGTCCGCTAGTTCAAACATGAGCATCCCTTAGTAATATAGCAGTTAATTGTCAAGGGAGACTGACATTTGGATTGTTATTAAATAAAGCGCAATGCTGTGGCCTTGGGGCAGCCATAAGAGCCACCAAAGGCAGAGTTGTGGATTGTCTGTCTCCATAAGGCCCTCAATTGTGAGCTCAGAACTTTCTTTAATTAAAAGAGTTGCTCTTCGACTTTTTTCAGTCTGGATCATCATGCATATGAGGGTGTGTTTGCAGTCACAAGGGCATACTTAGATCGGGTTTGGCAGCTCGCATGTAGAACTTCAGTTCAGAGAAGAGAGGGCCGTTGTCACTGGGCTCCTGCAAGACACAGTAAAAAATAATCACCAATAATAACTGACATTAAAAATAATAAAAACGTGAACCCGCATGCATTTAAAAAAACCCAGCAGAGGGAAAGTATACATCCATTATCGCACTTCCATGCAGTGTCATTTTACCAAAGCACAAATTATTCTATTTAGTTTGCTTGTAAAATGCATACACTTGTTTACATGGCCTTGCAAAAGTCACACTCTTTTACCCAAATTACTATCTATCAGGTAATAATCATAAGTTTTATTGCTTTGTTTACTTAAAATAAAAAATAATAAAAGTGATGGTTGTTATAGAAAATTACAGTGTTTTCAATTCAAATAATTAAAAAATAAGTTTATTAATTTTTTTATAATTTGTTTATTGTTCTAGTTAAGGTCACAGAAATGCATTTAATTGATTGACATTACACTGCTGACCATCCAAACATCACGGCCAATCAAAAAGTTCAAGATCTAGACATATATCTGCTGGCAGCAACAAAAGCCCCTTACCACTTTAATGACATAAGGTGCATCAACGCCAACAGATCCTGAAGAGTCTTCATTTGCTAAAATATATATGACAAATTCGCATTTGCTAAAATATATATGACAAATTCGCATTTGCTAAAATATATATGACAAATTCGCATTTGCTAAAATATATATGACAAATTCGCATTTGCTAAAATATATATGACAAATTCGCATTTGCTAAAATATATATGACAAATTCGCATTTGCTAAAATATATATGACAAATTTGCATTTGAGCAACTGATAAATAAAACAAAATAAAGCATTAGAACTTAATTTCCGACAGCTTTTTTGAATCCTACCGAGATACAGCAGGCCAAAACCTCCCTGCCCCGCAGCTGATCCAAGCTTCCATTTTTTCTTTGCATTATCCATCAGAACTTCTCCAGGTGGGAATTCTTCAGCTAGTTTCCTCTTCGCTGGAGCTCTCGATTTCTTCGCCCCATCTGCCTTGGACTTTGGTGGCATTTTACTGAATAATTTAAAGTACCAAACAAGAGAAACACAAGTTCCATTACAACTAAACTGAAGTGGGGACCATTAGGGATAATGCTTTTATTTTTGAATTATTTTCTAATTTTATACAACATTATCCATTACAAACATATTAGCAATAATGCTTATAGAGTAAATAGTTTAACTGAAAACGTTACTTAGGGTGTATTCACACCAGGAAAGTCCGCTAGTTCACTTGCTTTGGTCCGGACCAAATACAATGTTGATTTTTTTTGTTTGGTGTGGTTCGCTTTCACACTGCCCTTTTTTGCAAGTGAACCAGAAATTGTAAACAAAACCACACGTGTGCTAAGGTCATCCATTCATTGGACAGAAATTCTCAAGCAGGGAAAAACATGAAGTGCAAAAACAGGCTAACCATGGAGATCTTTCGTAGTGCAATTTTTATTCTTTTACTGATTTGGTGTTATGAGATACTAACGCAATATGAAGAAACTTATGAACATCATATGAGACAATGTCATACGATGTTGTAATTACGACTTTCCGAAAATAAAATCTATAGACATAAAATACTTACAGCATATCACAATGTTAGTTTAAACATTTAACCTATATAAATGTGCAATCGTTTGTGCGGAGAGTGGAAGCTGAAGCTCAAATTAAATACGCCGTCATTTTTGCTCATAAAGGTAAGAATAAATACATCGTTCGGAACTGTAAAGGGTCTATTTTTATTTGTGTGCACTCAAGAAAACGTTGTGCTTTTGTAAAATAAAGAAAACAAATAGGAAGAACTATTCACACCTGCCAAAAAGGTCCACACCAAGAGGGGAAACGAACTTGAGTTCGATTCAATCGAACCAAACAAGACAGGTGTGAATACACCCTTAAATTGTCTATTTGTATCCATATGTACATGACCTTTTAAGATTTTAGAAATGTTTAATTTCTATGACTTTTGCGGCCCTGGAAATCAAATTTTTGAAATTCTCTGCCATGTACAGATTTTCTATGATCACAGCAACCCTGTCAGTTCCACATATTTAGTTACATTAGATTAGTGTTCAACAAATTGTGCAAAACCTTAAATATCTTCTTTTTTGGTTTGGAAAAAAAAATCCAGGTGGAATGAAAAGAATTCAAAAAGTTTAATTTGGTATTATACTTCTCCACACCACCATAAAACCAGGACCTGATCATCGGATGTAGTCACTTCATACCATTACAGATGTATAAATAGAGGCCTACTAATAATTACACTACAAGTATAAACAAAAAACAATGATACTAGGGTGTGTCATACAAGTCATTAAAACTGTCGTGCCGTGCAACTGTCGAGTGTTTAGGCTTTGTTTCATTATTGTTGACATAAAATAAAATGTAGATATTTTGAAGATTTTCGATTTCACAGATGCATTAGCACTTGAGCACTACAACTGATGACAAACTCAGTGATAACATTTGTGATATGGATAAAGCTTCCATATGCGATGATGCTTTTTGTTTTCACTTTTACAACAGACATTAAGAGCTGTGGTTTCAGTTTGCTTATGTGATACAAGTTTTTAAGAGTGATAAAGCGGTTAATGTCACACATATCAACATTGGGATGTTTATTTTGTATTTGGGGGGGAAACTGCAAATTGCAGCTCAACAATTTCAACTTGCTATGCTAGCACGGTTAGCTGCCTTAGTTATTACGGCTTTTTATCACAACAGATGAGATGCTTTGTCCTCATAATCCGCTATTAAATACATACGGACATTATGCTTTATTAAAGCAGATTGAGAATATTATACTAACCTTTCCGCGGGTAAGTGGCAGGTTGTAACAGCTCTTCCTCTCCAAAGTTCCCGCAAAACTGCTCATCAGGCTGAGGCTCAGCGAATGCGATTGGTTAGAAAGAGGACTGCGTAGTTCCTGGGTTTTGCTATGCCTGATGGGATATGTAGTTTTTATCCGTTTTTTTCACAAGCAGTTACAATTGTCAAATTGCGATGTTTTGTTATAATAATAAATAGACCCATTTGAAAAATACTACAAAAGAGCATTTTTAATCAGCGAATGCGATTGGTTAGAAAGAGGACTGCGTAGTTCCTGGGTTTTGCTATGCCTGATGGGATATGTAGTTTTTATCCGTTTTTTTCACAAGCAGTTACAGTTGTCAAATTGCGATGTTTTGTTATAATAATAAATAGACCCATTTGAAAAAATACTACAAAAGAGCATTTTTAAACATTACACTAAACGTGTCTCTCTTTTCTTTCTGAATGCGTGACTGTATTTTATTGTTAAATAATGATTTCAGAGGTGGTGGAACTCAGGAAATAGAAATAAATATGAATTTGAAAATTGTTCTCAAGTTTTTGTAATATTACTAGTGGGTAGAGACATTACAATATTTATACTTACAGATACCGATTTTACACTGATTTACAGATTTTATACCTTATATTCAAGGCATTTAAAAGTATATATTTCAATGTGATATGGTGTAAACTTAGAGTTTGTCAATCTCTCTCATAATATGTAACCTAAAAAAAGAAAGACAAAGCTTGTAATTGTCTGCAAGGACGTTATACATTAATTTTACAGACATTTCTGTTAACCCTAAAGCACAACTTGTGCTTATGCAGTGCATAAGTAAAATACCTGTAAAAATCAATATGGAAAATTCCTTCATGTTAATACAGTACAATGTGCCCTATTATTACAGATTTTTTTTTAGAGTGTACTGTTATACATTTAGTGTGAGGTATATTTACGACAGTAACCCTCAAAAAATATTTTAGGCTCTGTTTCCCCACGTGCATATTTGATGTTGACTAGCTGTACTAGCGTTGAGAGGCACATCGTTTATGAATAATTGACTATGTGGTATCCTGTAACTGTTTTGTAGAAGTGCTATGCTGCGAGTTTAAGTTTCCTTTTGCCTAGTGACTACAGAATAACAACACGAGAATTCACAGAAGCAGATTTTGGAGGACATTTCATGGTTTGTTTTCTGCAGCAATGAGGGATAGATAGTGTGTCCAGAGATGTTATCATATATGAAGGATTTTATAGTTCAGAGGACTGACGTCTGAGCTAATGGGATGTCTGACATAGAAGTACATGACATCAGAGCTACATATTGATGGAAATTTTGGTTAATCAACTTTGTAGGACATCGCTCATAGCAGAAGAATGACAGGTCTCTCAGAGGAAGAGGCAACATCTCAGTCTCTGAAGGAGGGCAGAGAAAAACGTGTATCATTTCCCCCAGATGAGCAGATGGTGTCTGACTTTGTGGAGAGAAGGGCTGAACTTCAAGAGGGTGAGATGGAGCTGATGTTGCTGACGGCCTCTTTAGATCAGCTGTGCTCGTTTTTTTTTTTCATGTAACATAATTTGTCACAACAGCAAAAGCAACACTTGTTATGTGTGAGACATGGTCAGTTTGGGTCGGTAGGATTTTTGAAAGAAATCCCATATGCTCACCAATCCTGAATTGATTTGGTTAAAATACATTAAAAATAATATTGTGAAATTTTTACAATTGTAGAAACATGATATGCTTTTCCAGGTTTATTTGATTAATAGAAAGTTCAAAAGAACAGCATTAATTTAAAATATTTTTGAAAAAATTTACTGACTTTACTGTCACTTTTGATCAATTGAATGTGTGCTTGATGAAGAAAATTATTAATTTATTTTTTAATGTATCACAATTATATTTTTTAAATGAACCTTATATAACCTTATATACAGTATGTACTTTAATGTAAATAAAATATTTAATTATATCCTTCATGTATGTCATGGTGCTAATTCATTTTTTTCTTTTTGCTAATAATATAATGGAATATAAATGGAATATTCTTGATGTGGCTCTAATATGTGGGTTTTACATTTGTTCTGTTTTAGCTGACAGTCTCACTCTGACAGATATAATTCTGGCCTACAAGCAGAGCTGTGAAAAGCACCACGTGAAACCAAACTCAAAGGCTCTTGATCAATTAAAGGTACAGTGGAGTAACATGCATTAATACACACAGCACTTCTCACACTTTGATTCCTTGCTAATATTAGGTTATTTGTGCAGAAGATTTGGTTTGAAATAGCTATGAACATTATTTGGTGAAAATAACTTTGAAATTAAAGAAAGACAGAGGATGAAAAGAAAAATAAACACATTTTAATCCCTCTTAGGGAGCAGGTTAATTAGCCAACCACGTTTTATTGAACTAAAAAAGCAAGACAATAACAAACAGGTAAATGAAAGGAAATGAGAAGCACACACACAAATACACACACTCACACGTGAGCATGCATGCATAATTTATGCTCTGCGCTTACTTATTTTACTTTGACCAGCAACGTTAAGAGCGTTGGTTTCTCTTCTGCATAAATGTACGATTAGATCAAGGAGAATTATTTGTGGGAAATTAGTGATTTAGCAGTGCTTACATTAAACACACTCTCTGCATTATCTCCACACCGCTAATGAACCCCACTGCATTTGAATGGAATGTAGGTGGTCCCCCTGAAAGGGTGAAATATGTATGGTTAAGTGGAAGGATATTTAGTTGAGGACTGCGTTTGAATTCATAATAAGAGAATGCTAAATGAAATTTGCTGCTTAAAGAACATATTTATCAAATTAGGTGTTTTTTTTCCCAGGCAGGATCATCCCTAGAGAATGCTGCTGAAAACTATTTAAAGCTATTATTGTTTCCGTGGGCTTTCACTTTTCTTAGATTTTTTTTTAAGTGGGTAAAACAGTCTTCCTTTTGGTTACATCTTCACAGAAGTGGTAAACAAACAAAAGGCCTGTATGAAGGACCCCGGGCCCCCTTAGTTTAACACTAGCTAAATGCTTGAAGGAATAGTTCACCCCAAAATGCTGAAAAATTTCCATTCAAGATGTAGATAAATTTGTTTCTTCATCACAACAAATTTGGAGAAATTTGACATTACATCACTTGCTCACCAATTGATCCTCTGCAGTGAATGGTTGCCGTCAGAAGGAGAGTCCAAATAGCTGGTTAACACATCATGATAATCCACAAATAATCCACGTCTCCAGTCCATCAATTAATGTCTTGTGAAAAGCTGCATGTTTGTAAGGAACCAATCCATCATCAAGATGTTTTTAACTTCAAACCATTGCTTCCGGCTAAAATACGAGTCCTTGATTCATAGTATTGTTTTCTCTATAGTGAAAAACTCGACTTGTCTGAATCAGGAGATAAATATGCACAGAACAAGAACTGTTTAGAAATGAAAACAGCCCAAAACAGATCTAAACAAATATTTTGGTGTGTGAGGACAAGGGGATGAACTTTTCACTGAAAGAAAATCACTCTGATATTTTGGCCAGAAGACAACGGTTTAAAATTAAAACGCATTAATAATGGATTTGTTTCTTCCAAACACGCAGCATTTTAACGTCACAAGACGTTAACTGATGACTGGAGTTATGAGGATTACTTGTGAATTATTGTGATGTTTTTATCAGCTGTTTGGACTCTCATTCTGATGGCACCCATTCACTGCAAAGGATCCACTGGTGAACAAGTGATGTAATGCTTTTCTCTGTTTCAATCTGTTTTGATGGAGAAACAAACACAATTTGGATGGCCTGAAGGTGAGTACATTTTCAGATTTTTTTTTACATTTTTGGGTCAACTATTCCTTTAAAGTATTATTTTCATTCTCATTATTAAATCTGGAAGTTTTTCATTCAAAGTTTTCCGTGTCCACTCCGTCTCAGAACACACAAAAACTTCTTGATATAAGTTACTATCCCAGGGGCTTGTAAATGAGTAACGTTTGTTGAAGTGTCACCACCACTGAAGTGCAAATCCTGTCGGAGGTGGTGGCAATTGTAGAATCAGAAAATAACAAAGAGAAAAGACTTACAGAAGCGCCCCAAACAGTATGAGTGCTCGCCTCAGAAGCCGAGGAAGCATCATCAAACGATTCAGCATTTCACATCTCCCTGCAGGATAAGGCGTCAATTTTGTGAGAAGTTTGTATTTTAGACTGAACCGTCCCCCCATTAGAGCGAATGCAGCCCAGTAGAGCTCCCCAAAAACATCCTTGCTCCCAGCCTGACTCTGTCGAGCTGCTTAGCTGTGAGCGTTGAACATTCGTCAGAAAGCCACAGAGTGTCTGAAGTGAAATAACCGTCCTCCCCCCAATACGGAGAGGAATTTCACAATCTCTAACATCTAAACACCGTAGAGTATAAATAACTTTCCCACTTTTAATCTTTAATGTCTATAGCACCCTCTAGACTATGAAGATTTGCAGTGATTTCTTTCTTTACTGCATGAAATAGGCATGCATGTTTATTTCCTTCCCAGCTGTCTGGAGCTGCAACGCTGCAGTCACCATCCATGTAGCCAATCATGTTGTTTTTGAGGCTAGTTATTTATCATTTTCTATGACAAGCACCAAATTGTTCTATTAAATGTCTTTTTTTCCGGCTCTGGTGCTGATGAAGAGGCAGGGAGATAGCGTAACAATCTTAAAACTAAAAAAATTGTGTACATTTTCATTTTGTTAATGATAAATTAAGCTCTTAATTTTGTCTATGCTCTTTCTAGACACTGCAGGTTTAATTGCTAATTGTTAACTGGGATAACTGGAATATATTTGCATATTAATTAGATCCCAATTTACATTTTTAATTTGCTGCCTTCAAAGGGTGTGAGATAAAAGGTCGTGTTATTTTAAATAATTTATCCTTTATTGCAGAAAAGATGCTGAAAGGAAAATGTGCGGCTGATTTTAATCCCTGAGAGCTTTTACTGTATAACATTTTTTCGAAATCATTTTTTCAACTAATTAAATGAGGAAAAAGGGAGAAATATATGCTCTCAGACAGTTGCTAATACAAAGCCACCCAGACTGCAGAGTGCTGGAGTGGGTCTCCAGGAGTCTTTGAGTGAAGAATTGGAAATGCACTTGAGATGTTGTCTGTGGAAGTCAAGTTTATAAGCTGTGTCCCGTTCTGCCTGGAGGAAGCAAAGCTCTCTTTATCACTTCATTTTGTCCTCTCCCTCCTGACACATCAATGCATTTTGTACTTTGTCATTTCATTTTCCTCAATACACAGCACAGAACATTGCTTAGCAGCGAAGGGTTTCAGAAGTTTCCACATTTATTAAGATGGAAAACATCAAACAAAGAAAGAGATGTACAAAACCATGGCCTGAAGTCATCCTTGTCGAGACTTTTCTATCAGAATAATATTAAACCTTTCGTTCGCACATTGCGATGCTTAATTTGTTTTGCTCTAAACACAAAATCCCATATGACGTCCTGTTCGTGTTTACAGCAGGTTGACTGAGGGACTTCATCAGTCCGTTGCCTGATAGATGCTAACTGCCATCTGCTAGCTACAGTCTAGCGGCTAGATTGCCAGATTGAGCTCAAATGATCTGCGCTGTGACGTACTTGAAATCAACATGCACTGTTTGGTGTCACTTTCAAATGTTGATGATTACATTTTGTTTGAGGTATATTAGTGACTGTACAATTACAAGATTCACAAAATACTTTGTGATACCTATCACTCAGTGCTTTCATATTATATGCAATAAAATGAACTCTGTAATATACTATATATAATTGGGACCTAAATGTTATTTTTAATTAGAGATCATTGCGATGAGCATTTTGAAACTTTTATGTCCTTTTAAACAATTTTGAAAATGACATTTTTACTCATGTTAAAGGGGTGGTTGATTGCGATTTCACTTTTTTAACGTTAGTTAGTGTGTAATGTTGCTGTTTGAGCATAAACAAATGTTTGAGCATATGCAAAGTTACGAAGCTGAAAGTTCAATGCAAAATTATGGTGGTTTAATGCCTACAAAAACACGCTCGTAGGGACTACAACGAGTTACTTCCCGGGTTCGTGACGTAACAAACCCAGATAAACCCCGCCCTCGGGAAAAGGCAGCAAAGGGGGCGAGGTCATGCTGCGCTGCTTTAGAGAAGAGGAAGAGAAAACTAGAGGTGCACATAAAAATCTATTCATATATGAATCGCGATTCTGTCTTCTAACGATTCTAATGAATTCACAAGTTTCAAAATCAATGTTCTAAAGCAGAGTTCTTAAATTACTGTTCCTCGCGTCCCCCTGCTCTGCACACGCTCTGCATCTCTCTCTCTCTCATTCAGCTCAGCTCCAACAATGAA